GATTGCCCAATGGCTTAATTAAACCGGCCGCGAACTCTGCCGGCATGCGGAACTTGGCCCGGCTTAAACTATCAATCATGGATTTGCATCGCCTGGTCAGGAGAAGAATGGGGGATTTATTATGGAAGGTGGGGCTTGAGGCGTGCCAGAGCTCAAGGACACGCAGCCCGTTCAAATCCGCTTAGTGTAATAACGTGTTTCCCCGTTTCCTTCTTTTTTTTCCCCCTTATCGCCTGAGCCTGCGGGCCTGTGAATGTGTCAACAGCTAAATCGATATGTTTTTCCCCTGTTGATATAGTTAACTCGTAATTTCCCTTCAGCCCTTGGCCGCCTCTTGATTATGTAGCTCACAAAAGTTGACTGCCCTAGCCCGCATCCTGGCCTTAAATGTCCTTGGGGTGCAAAAAAAAAGAAAAAGAAAGAACATAAAAGGGTGACCGCTCTCTCGGTAATTGATGAAAACCCAGTGAGAACTGAGTACTGTGTTAAAACCGACAGGCAAATAGATACATATTGACCAGTTTTTTCCATCTTCTCCACAGCCAGCCAAGATTGGCCAGATCTGGACGGGACCGGACACACAGCAGCCATGATAGGACGTTTATTTCGCGCCCACGGCGAGTTCTGCGCCTCGCATCCCTGGGAGGTCATCGTGGCCCTGCTGACCATCACGGCCTGCATGCTGACGGTGGACAAGAACAACACCCTGGATGCGAGCAGTGGACTCGGAACGGCCACAGCCTCAGCGGCAGCCACTGGAGGCGGTAGTGGATCTGGAGGATCAGCGATGCCACAACCCTCTGTGGGTGGAGGATCGGCCACCTCCAGCCGGCACAGGCCCTGTCATGGATGGAGCCAATCCTGCGATGGCCTGGAGGCCGAGTACAATGCCGCCGACGTCATCCTAATGACCATCGTCCGCTGCACCGCCGTCCTGTACTGCTACTACCAGTTCTGCAGCCTCCACCGGCTGGGATCCAAATATGTGCTGGGTGAGTACTGATGATGGAATTACATCACTCTGGCGGAGCACGTGTGTTGACCAAAGTGGTTAGAACCAACGCTGGCATTGTTTGCCCCCACACCGAACTATGGGCCCCTCCTCCACCCAAAAAAAAAAGCTGGGAAAAACGCAAACCACACAAGACTGGAATGTTTGGCCAAGACTTTAGAGGTGGGGCAGGCAGCACATAGCAGCATAAGGTAGCAACCCAAAGCTCCCTGGCATTTCTCACGTGCGCTCTAAACGATTCGACCTCCGTCCACTAATGCCGCCGACTCATCGCTGTTTCTCTTTCAGGCATCGCCGGCCTCTTCACGGTCTTCTCCAGCTTCATCTTTACGACGGCCATCATCAAGTTCCTGGGCAGCGACATCTCCGAACTGAAGTGAGTTGACTTACGAGTATATTTTAGAATTGTAGATTTAGGAGTCGCTTTGCAAACGTGTCTTAGAACTTCGTTTTCTAAAGTACTTTCTTATAGAGGCTCGACTTGGCAAATATTTCAGCTTCAATATTATATATTACCGACACACAAGGACTTTAGTCTAAAAAGTCTTAAGTTAATATGCTGTTTAGACCAAAAGAACATGTTATGAATAAACAATTTCAATTTCATTCAATGAAAACCATAAATTCTATATTCATGACATAATAGTGTAGTTCATTAAAGTATGCTAATTAGATATACAATTAAACCCGCTTCTATCTACCTTTCAGGGACGCACTGTTCTTCCTGCTGCTGGTCATCGACCTGTCCAACTCTGGCCGACTGGCCCAGCTAGCGCTTTCGGGTAGCAACCAGCGGAGGTAACTCAGAACATTGCCGGGGGCTGGAGCTCTGGGACCTGCCATCTCGCTGGACACCATTGTGGAGGTGCTGCTGGTGGGCGTGGGTACACTTTCGGGAGTCCAACGCCTGGAGGTGCTCTGCATGTTCGCCGTGCTCTCAGTGCTGGTCAACTACGTGGTCTTCATGACCTTCTATCCCGCCTGTCTGTCGCTGATCTTTGACCTTTCCCGTTCCGGAGTCGACATGTCCGTGGTGCGGGAGAAGGCGAAGGGTTCGCTGCTCCTCAAATCCCTAACCGAGGAGGAGCAGAAGGCCAATCCGGTGCTGCAACGCGTCAAGCTGATCATGACCACCGGCCTAATGGCCGTCCACATCTACAGTCGCGTGGCTTTCTCGGGCAGCGATTATGACTCCGTGGACAAGACTCTATCACCTACGCTCAGCCTGAATGTTAGCAACAATCGCACAGAATCGGGAGAGATCACCGACATCATCATCAAGTGAGTTCAAGGATATGGATATACCCATTAAGCTTACCAACTAACAACATGTTCCTCCTTTTTTTCAGATGGCTCACCATGAGTGCCGACCACATAGTAATCTCAATCGTTCTCATCGCCTGGTGGTCAAGTTCATTTGCTTCGACAATCGCGATCCCCTGCCGGATCAGCTGCGTCCAGCGGTCCTGTGGCCATCGCCGCCAAGGCCTCACAAACCACCCCATTGAGGAGGAGCAGGATGGGCAGAAGAAGTTTACGGAGGTCAGTGCAGCTCCAGCTGTAGTCCGGTCACCACTTTTCACCATTGAGGAGCAGAGTTCAGCCAATGCTTCTACCCAAACGGAGCTGCTTCCGCTGCGCCATCGACTGGTGGGTCCTATTAGGCCACCTCGTCCGCTCCAGGAATGCCTGATATCCTGAACTCCACTGAAGATGGTAATGGGCCCTCATCCTTGAGTGACGAGGAGATTGTGGCCATCGTCCACGCTGGAGGCACTCACTGTCCGCTCTACAAGATCGAGTCCGTGCTGGATGATCCCGAGAGGGGAGTGCGAATCCGCCGACAGATCATTGCCAATCGCGCCAAGATGCCGGTGGGTCGACTGGATGTCTTGCCTTATGAACACTTTGACTACCGCCGCGTGCTCAACGCCTGCTGCGAAAACGTCCTGGGCTACGTACCCATTCCGGTGGGCTACGCCGGACCTCTGCTTTTAGACGGAGAGACCTACTATGTACCCATGGCCACCACTGAGGGTGCCCTGGTGGCTTCAACGAATCGTGGCTGCAAGGCGCTCTCCGTTCGTGTGTTCGCTCTGTCGTGGAGGATGTGGGCATGACCCGGGCACCATGTGTCAGATTCCCCAGCGTTGCCCGTGCAGCAGAGGCGAAGTCCTGGATCGAAGACGATGTTAACTACCAGTTGGTGAAGACGGAGTTCGATTCACGTCACGCTTTGGTCGCCTAAAGGATTGCCACATTGCTATGGACGGACCGCAGCTATACATTCGCTTTGTGGCCATCACTGGCGATGCCATGGGAATGAACATGGTGTCCAAGGGCGCCGAGATGGCCTGCGCCGCATCAAGCGCCAGTTTCCGGACATGCAGATCATCTCGCTGAGTGGGAACTTCTGCTGCGACAAGAAACCGCGGCCATCAATGGATCAAGGGACGTGGCAAGCGGGTAGTCACCGAGTGCACCATTTCGGCGGCCACACTGCGTTCCGTGCTGAAGACGGATGCCAAGACCCTGGTCGAGTGCAACAAGCTGAAGAATATGGGCGGCAGCGCCATGGCCGGCAGCATTGGTGGCAACAATGCCCATGCTGCCAATATGGTCACCGCCGTCTTCCTGGCCACGGGGCAGGATCCCGCCCAGAATGTAACCTCCAGCAATTGCTCCACGGCCATGGAGTGCTGGGTGGAGAACAGCGAGGACCTGTACATGACCTGCACAATGCCTCTCTGAGTGGGAACCGTGGGCGGTGGCACCGGGCTGCCCGGCCAGAGCGCCTGCCTGGAAATGCTCGGCGTTCGCGGAGCACATGCCACCGCCGGGAGACAATGCCAAGAAGCTGGCCCAGATGTCTGCGCCACGGTAATGGCTGGTGAACTGAGCCTGATGGCGGCGCTAGTCAACAGCGATCTAGTCAAGAGTCACATGCGTCACAATCGGTAAGTGTGGGATATTGGTTACATGGCTTGGGCTTAGGCAGGCTTAAATATCTTGTAAAATTAAAAAATTATATGTTTTTTGCAACTGTTTTAATTCTATTTTTAATAAGTGTTTAATAAAAAACAGGTTCATACAAATTAGGAACTATTCTAAAGCGTTTATTGGTTTATACATATTGTGGTATATTTTTTGAATCATTGATAAAATGTTTAATCTTCATATAAGAATTTTTAACAAAATGAAAAAGGACTTAAAATTAAAAAATTAATTTCAATAGTTTTCCAGTATCTAGTAATTAAAAGATTTTTAGAAAAATACAAATAACTTAAAAGATATGGAAAAAGGCAATTTAGTTTCTTCAGACTAATGATAAAGATAACCACTGAAAATTAAAAGTGTAATATGCTCTTCTTTACTTGCAGCTCCTCCGTCGCCGTGAGCAGCGCCAACAATCCCCTCAACGTGACCGTGTCCAGCTGCAGCACCATCAGCTAAGATTGGGCGCTGCAGGGGCGCCGACTTCTACCCTTTTGTACATAGAGAGTCTCCAACCGGGCAGGCCAGGCGTTGCAACTCATTTCTTTAGGTGTTACCTTGTAGTTGAATGTTTCACGAATTGCTTGATAAATAACCTGATTGGCCAGGCCAAGGAACCGAACAGCAGCCTCCTCCAGATCGGCGATTCCTTCCAAGCCGCATGCTGTGAGCGCGGAATGATGGGATGATCTGCATCAGCTGTTTCTGATACTTCCACTTAGATTGTACGTTTCGTCATAACGCTATTTTTTTCTACCTATAAAACTGAATACTGAGTTAAGATCCGCTGGAATCCCCTCCAGATGCCAGTCAGTGGAGCTATGACCAGAACTAGTGCAAGCGCTGAACTTGTAAAAAGTATTTCGTAAGCGAAAAGTAGTACATAGGGTTTATATAGTGACTAAATTAAAACGTTTAATTAGACCGAGTACGATCGATATCGATATCTTAATTTCTGTTTTCGTTTTTAACAAAAAAATATAAACACAAAGCGTAATGGATAAATGTCTTTTGTAGACGCTGCTCACGGGTTTACAAATCAGCACTTCATTTATTTTACTTTTAATAATAATAATTATTAATAAATTATTATAATTAATTTATAATAATTCACGGCTCGTTTTATTAATTAGTGGTTGTTGTGTGTGTTTGTTTGTTGTTGTTTTCCTCCATGTATGAATCGTATAAAAAGAACAAGAGCGAGCGGCGGTTAATTCTGATCGGTGGACACCTTGGCCTCGGCCTCGGCATCCTCGCCGCCCTCATCCACGGGCGGCACACTGACATCGGCGCTGCTGTCGGGCTGGACGAGCACCTTCTTGGGACTCGGCCCATAGCTATCTGCCTCTGCGGAAACGCACCCGACGGCCCCGGAGCAGCATCCTCATCCTCATCGTCGTGGGTCGTCGACTCGGCTGCAGGCTGGCAGCTGCCTCGGAGGCCACGCCGTTTTTCGTCTCCTCCACGGAGCACTCCTCGGGATGTGAGACCTTGCGCTTGGCAATCCGCTCGCTGAGCGCCTTGTGCAGCTGGGCAATGTCCGCAGGTCGGCCCATGGCCAGGAAGATCTTGACAACGCCAGAGTTGTCGATGGCCGTCAGACGGAGTGACTTCTGGCTGGCCCGCTCCGCCACCATGGCGGCCCAGACTTTGGTGTTGAGCAACAGGCGCAGATTGCCAGATGTGCGGAAGACCACGCGCGAGTTGCCCTTGCCATCCTTGGCGTCGTTCAGGCGCAGGCTGCCGCGACCACGCTCCTCCCAGTTGCTGTTGAGGAAGGCGAATAGCTTGCAACTGACGTCGATGATATTGATCTCGTCCTCCTCGCCGGTGAAGGTCTCGACCTCCTCGTATTTGCGCTTCTGGGCGCGGCTCTCCTCGTACTCACGGGCCACATCCGTTAGGCTCTTGGCCTCGGCGGACTCCTTGTTGTTGTTGCTGCTGCTACTGCAGGTGGACGAGGAGGCAGCGGCCTCGCTGGTCTCTGTGGTCTGGGCAGCGTTCTGGATGACGCTGGAGAAGAGCAATGGCGCCGACGAAGTCGACGACGAGGCGGCGGTGGAGGAGGAAGCGGCCTCCTGGGCCGAGCCCGATCCCGAGCTGCCTGCCGCCTCGGCATCGGGCTCGGCGATGACCTGCTCTGGATTGGGGGCCACCACGCGTTCATGCACATTCTGACCGAAAACGAAGCCGCTGCTCTGGACATGGGGCATGTTGTTCTTGGCAGCGGCAAACATGCTGGAACGCTCGATACCATTGCTGCGCAGCTTGGTCAGCGGATCCGGCCGCTCGTCCACCTCGTCGTCGTCGTTCTTGTCGCCGGAGGGCGCCACCACTTCCTCGTCATCCTCCTCGTCCTTGGCCTCGCGCAGAAAGGGATTGTTCAGCAGGGCGCCGTCCTCGCCGGCGGCCGACGACGATGTGGAGCTATTGTTGGAGCCGCTGCTGTTGGCCAGCACAGCCGGACGCAGTACGGCACCGCCCAGGCGCGAAGCCTTCAGGGTGAAGCCACCACGGAAACAGTTAGTTTCGACTGACGCTTCTGGGAGCAAGGGAGAAAAAAAAAACAAGATTTGGTTGTCAGCTTGCGGGGCACTCTTTGCAGGTGCGATTTCCGCGCCCCTTGGCCAGTTTAATTTACAACTAGGACCGCAGCTTCGATCGCCGCACTTACCATTGTTTTCGGACATTGCAAACCTGGCTATTTGCAATTTGTAAATGTAAATCGCCAAATCTTTTCCAGAAAAGAGCGTTCTGTGTGTGAAGCCTGCCGAACTGTTATCGCTGGGTTGTAGCAACTATCGATAGGCACTAGAGCCAACACTTGCTTCCCAACACTGGCTGCCAACAGTGTTGCCAACTTGCCGCTGAAAAAACAAGAAATTTACAAGTCATCGACAGAGAGTGTTTGCCAAAATACGATCAGATCGACAATAATTGCATTTAAACAAAGAGTTACATTCACCAAGAGCAGCAGGCAAGCGCAGGTTAATCGACATGGCTCAGACTCTGGAGGACAAATCGATCTGGGAGGACGGCGAGGAGTCGCTGGGCGAGGAGGTGATGCGTATGTCCACCGATGAGATTGTGAGCAGGACTCGCCTGATGGACAACGAGATCAAGATCATGAAGAGCGAGGTGATGCGCATCACACACGAGATCCAGGCGCAGAACGAGAAGATCAAGGACAACACGGAGAAGATCAAGGTAGGCTTCGCTGTGAGACACCTCCACCGGCAACCGCCCCTTCATCCGTAACTCCTCTCTTTAGGTTAACAAGACACTGCCCTATCTGGTGTCCAATGTCATAGAGCTGCTGGATGTGGATCCCAGGAGGAGGAGGACGACGGCTCCGTCACCGTGCTGGACAACCAGCGGAAGGGCAAGTGCGCCGTCATCAAAACATCCACGCGACAGGCCTACTTCCTGCCAGTCATTGGCCTGGTAGATGCCGAGAAACTGAAGCCAGGTGATCTGGTCGGTGTCAACAAGGACTCCTACTTGATTTTGGAGACCCTGCCGGCGGAGTACGATGCCCGCGTCAAGGCCATGGAGGTGGACGAGCGACCCACAGAGCAGTACTCCGACATCGGTGGCCTGGATAAGCAGATTCAGGAGCTTATCGAGGCAGTGGTGCTGCCCATGACGCACAAGGAGAAGTTCAAAAACCTCGGCATTCACCCGCCCAAAGGTGAGTTCTACAGTCTGTTTACAAAGTGGTTTCCGTCAAGCTAATCCCTGCTTCTTCCAGGTGTTCTTTTGTATGGCCCGCCTGGAACTGGTAAAACTTTGCTGCCCGTGCCTGCGCCGCACAGACCAAGTCCACCTTCCTTAAGCTGGCCGGTCCCCAGCTGGTGCAGATGTTCATTGGTGATGGCGCCAAACTGGTGCGCGATGCCTTTGCCCTGGCCAAGGAAAAGGCCCCGCTATCATCTTCATCGACGAGCTGGACGCCATTGGTACCAAGCGTTTCGATTCCGAGAAGGCCGGTGACCGCGAGGTTCAGCGAACTATGTTGGAGCTCCTTAACCAGCTGGATGGCTTCAGCTCCACGGCAGACATCAAGGTCATTGCGGCCACCAATCGTGTGGACATCCTGGATCCTGCTCTGCTGCGTTCTGGTCGTCTGGACCGTAAGATCGAGTTCCCACATCCCAACGAGGAAGCGCGTGCCCGCATCATGCAGATCCACTCGCGTAAAATGAACGTTAGTAACGATGTGAACTTCGAGGAGCTGTCCCGATCAACGGATGACTTCAACGGCGCCCAGTGCAAGGCGGTTGTGTGGAAGCCGGCATGATCGCCCTGCGCCGTTCCGCCAATTCGGTCACGCACGAGGACTTCATGGACGCCATCATGGAAGTGCAGGCGAAGAAGAAGGCTAATCTTAACTACTACGCTTAAGCTAGAAATTTGCAGTTTAACTCCACATTGTCCGCTCCCATTAAAATAAAACATGGAAATTTAACATTCTTCAGTTTATCAATCTGAGTTTTGTACTAAAGACTTATACGGATTTAAAACGATAGAATAGCCGAACATAATTCCATTCACGAAAATGGTCTGTACTGAAATTGTATATTTAGTTAGTTCAGCCATTAAAGCCCAAGAATTAAATACAAATAAAACAAAATTATATATCAAATGTCGATCGATTCATTGGTTTATCAGTACAACATTCACATTCTGAGTACGATATTTTTTTAAATATCTAAAAAGGTCGGTTTTAGAATTAATAAAAAATATTAAATCGGGCGAAATTAGATGATAAATATTTACACGCACACTAATTAACCTATAGGGATGATTAAACCAATTCACTAAGACTAACCAGTGGGATCGAGTGTGTTGCGCCATCCGGCGCCGCAGATGCTGAGCTGCTTGCCCCTTGCGACGCTGCATCGTCGTTTGATTTTGATGTAGTCGTCGATGAGATTTCCGCAGAGCATGAGGAGGAGGAGGTAGCCCCTGCAGCCGGAGAAGCAACTACTGCGGCAGTTGGGGCTCCCACTGCAGCCTCGCCGTCGACCACTCCGACTAAAGCTGCTGCTTCTGCTCCTACCGGCGCCAAGTTGACTGGCGCGGCAGCAATCTCATCTGCAGCTGGCTGCTGGGCCGGCTGATCCGGCTGCGGGAATGGTCGCCTCATGTACATGATGATGCCCAACAGAAGGGTCAAAATGGTAATCATGTACAAATCCCAATTGGCAGCAATGTTTTCATCCATGTAGAAGATAAACCTGTAGGTGACTGGAGGAGAACAAGAATAAAAGGTAGTCCACCAACAGCAGATAAATTTAACCACCTCCTTGATTGATTCAATCTTGGCCAGCATTTGCAGCTTGAAAGGGCAATGGCCACTGGCACTTTCGCATCCGAGTTGGTCTCGGCAGCCAAATCGTATAATCTCTTGGCCAGATGCCAGTCTTTCTTCATGCCAGCCTTGCTCGTGCATGTAACCCAGATTAAACATGGCCTGGGCATTATATTGCTGCTCCGACGCTTTCCTATGGGGGTAAAGAATGGGTAAAAATGGTTTCACAATAGTAAATCAATATCTTAACAACCTGTAAAGGGCGGCTGCGGTCTCGAATCCGTGGAAGTACCCCAGCCGTAGTAATAGTAGTCGCCCACTTGACTTGGGCGCCGAATAGCCCTGGCCGCTGCCCGCTTCCAGTAGTAGAATGCGCGAATGAGTTCTTCGTGCCGATCGTTGAAAACATGCACTTCCTCGCGGTCAAGTAAAAGGCGGCATTACTCTGGGCACCTCATAGCCCACTTCGGCCATTAGCGAATACTGCATGTAAGCTTCGTCGATGCGGTTTTTCTTGTAGTCACTGTAGGCATGCATCAGACGGCTGCTCCAGCGTCCACGTTCCGAGACGGTCTTGAAGAACTGGAATATGCAAATAAGAAACCAGTTGAAAACTAATTAACATTTTAAGATGTAATTAACAACCTCTACCGCTGCTGGACATGAACGCAGCATTCCCATGCCGTAGGCATTCATCACTCCTAGATTATAGTAGGCTAAAACATGACCTGACTGGGTAGCTAAATTGAAATACTTGAGGGCCAGCTTGTAGTCTGTTTCACGCCATTGCCAGCTGAAAAGAGTTTTTAAGGTTATAGCAAACAATCTTGTGAATTCGATTTATTTAACTTACTGAAATACATATTGCCCAGCTGCAGTGTCCATCTACCCATCCTTGATCGCAGCCTGCGTGAAGTAGGACAATGCCTTTATCGAGTCCTTGGGCACGCCCAGACCCTTGAGGTACATGAGACCCAGCCCGCTTTGACCCACTGGGTCTCCCATCTCAGAGGCCTTGGAGAAATACTAAGTAAACAAAAAATACAGCAATTAGCTAAGACATAAATCAGTGTTATCAATGTTATTTCCACCTTAAATGCAGTGTCATTGTCGGCCTTAATTTGCTCGCTTCCTTCCAGATAAAGCTTGCCCAAAAATGCGAAGCCAATCGCATTGCCGGCATTGGCAGCCTGGGTGAAATACTCCAGAGCCTTTTGGTGATCCTGTTGGGTGGCCTTGCCGCCCTGGTAGTACAGCTGACCTAGTCCCACCTGCGACTGGACGTCGCCCTTGTCGGCCAGCAGTTGGTAATAGTCCACAATCTCGGTCTCATGACTGCCGGGGTTCTCCAGTTCGTCCAGCAGGCGCACCCGATGAACGACAGGTCCGTTGGCAAAGGTGATCTTGGAAGCCACCTTCTTGGCCACTCGCTTGTACTGAATCAGCGCCTTCTCACAGCTGATGGGCACATTAATGCCATACAGATAACGATAGCCCATGGCCATTTGGGCCAGAGTGTTGTCACCCAGGAGGCCAGGTTGTAGTGGATCAGGCCATGGGCTGGCTTACATTCTTGCCGCCCACCCCGCTGAATAGAGGAATCCCAGGCCCATGTGCGCCTCGGGACACCCTCGTTGGCCAGGCTCTCAACTCATCTGCCGCATGGTGGAAATCAAAGTCCATCCAGTGACCTAGAAGGACGGCCCAGGCCAGTTCCGCCCTCGCCTTGAGGTGATTAAAGGCGGCCGCCTTCTTGAGCAGAGTGAAGGCCACCCTCTTATCCGTCGCGGCTTGGCCAGCATATCCATGGCGTTGTCGTACATGGTTTGAGCTGAAAGTATCAGGATCAGAAGCAGCATAAATGAGTTTATGTTCCCAACTTACCTTCTATTTGCTCCGGGGTTAGTTCCACCACCTCAGTGGGCTGGCGTTTGGCTTCGAGTCGCTCGATCTCGGCTTTCAGCTTTTGCTGCCTCATCAGACTGTCGTTCCAGAGGCGTTCGAGCAGGGCGGCCGGCATGACCTTCGTCCTGGGGGCAAACTCTGTGGAGTCCTTGGGTTTGGACGCCTTGCGATCGTTGCTCTCCGCGGGAACTCTTGACTCCGACTCTGCCGTGGTCACCTCCTCCGCTTCCGTCTGGGTGGAGGGCTCGTTGGGCAGCGTGGGTGTGGCAGTGCCCGTTCCACTGCCTAGAGTCGTGCCAGTCCCTGTGCCCAGACCCGTACCCGTTCCCGTGGCTTCTGTGTTGGGCCCCTGAAGCTCCTCCGCCCGCAGCTGCCAGGCGAGGAGCAGCGCCAGCAGGCACATCCAACTGTTGGCTTTCATGGTCGCCTATCTACGTGGTGAATGGTATTAACACCGATAATTTGGATCTACCCCTGTGCCTCGTCTATCTGATGCTCTTCCACTTCTGACGTGTTGTGTTATTTACTTCTTGCTCGGGACGCAGCGCCAGCGGAGAGATTTGATTGCTTTTTCTCGGTGCGGTCGTTGGACTTATTATTAGCTCATCTTAGCCACCTTGGCTTGGTGGTTGGAATGCCTTGGCTGTCTTTGCTTAATTTTTCACACGTAAGATTCTTTTTTAATCGGATTTTTTTGTTGCAATGTTTATAGTGCTGCGAGCGGGCCGAGGTTTGTGGGCCAGTGTTGCAAAGCGCCGCATTGAAAACAGTCGTGTTTAAGGGTGGTGGTTAAATCTTAACGGGGGACCATCCAAATAAGATTAACCACTGAAAACAAAAAGGTTAAAACAGTAAAATTTTTGCTTAATATAATTTACAGTATACAACAAAAATAATTTATAAAAATATATTTTGAACGTTTTTACCTAATAATATACATTAAATTTAATATATATTTTTTTGTTTTTTTTTGTCTGTCGAGATTTATTAAATAATTTAATAATCAAAAATAAAAAAATGTATAAAACAATTGTTTCCCTGCCAACTGCGATTAATATGTCCAAAAAATACCCCCTCTATGGGGGGTTTGGGGCAAACGCTTCCGGTTCCCCCTGGCTGCGCCCATGCCCAATCCGTCTGTTGTTGTGTTATGCAAAGGAACGCTTCGATTTAACAGAAGGAATCTTTATTGCAGCTTCTGACGTGCGGTCGGAGGTGATAATTCAGAGCGGGACTAATTAGAGTACGAGGAAGGCTTGCGGCCCGTGAATCACTCACTTTTGTCTCGATCGATCCCGCCCGTCAGCCACTGAGCAGCCGGCATGGAGATGAGTGTAAGTAGCAGACACCTAGCCCAGACCCACATCCCAAACCGAAACCGAAACCAGTTCCAATCCGAGCTTCAAGCGAGTCAGTCGAATAGCGAATCAGTACTTAAGCTCAAGCGCCAGTGCTGGTGAAAGTTACAGCTGTTGCGTTTGTTCCCCTGACGAATACTCACACCTGCCCCCCGTTTCCTGACCCACAACCGACCACCACCTGTGTGTGTCTTTCCAGGCTGTCATGTTCGCACGAGTATCCTTCTACCCCACCCTGTTGTACAATGTCCTGATGGAGAAGGCCTCTGCCAGGAACTGGTACGATCGCATCGACGAGCATGTGATACTGGGAGCCCTGCCCTTTCGCAGCCAGGCCAATGACGTAAGTAATCGAGGGATAACATTTCTGGAATCCTTGTTTATCCTTGTTGAACCCCCAGCTTATTGCCAAGGAGAACATGAAGGCAGTGGTGTCGATGAACGAGGACTATGAGCTGACCGCCTTCTCCAACAACACGGAGAAATGGAGCAAGCTGGGCATCGAGTTCTTGCAGCTGGCCACCACCGACATCTTCGAGTCGCCCAACCAGGAGAAGCTCTTCCGCGGCGTGGAGTTCATGAACAAGTTCCTGCCCCTCAAGCAGAGGATCGGCGGTTTGAGTTCCTCCCAGCTGCCGGAGAACGTGGGCTCCGTCTATGTGCACTGCAAGGCGGGCAGGACGCGCAGTGCCACTCTGGTGGGCTGCTACTTAATGATGGTGGGTTAAGCGGTAATCTTATAAAGTTATCTTAAAGCTCATGACGCATACTTTACAGAAGAACGGCTGGAATCCGGAGCAGGCGGTGGAGCACATGCGTCAGTGCCGACCGCACATTCTGCTGCACACAAAACAATGGGATGCCCTCCGGTTATTCTACACAAACAATGTGCAGGCCAAGTCATGACAAAAACCGGACAATAGCCCAAATTTATTGCTTACAGTAGATTACCATACGTAACAAAGGTGCTGCCTGTTACTCGACTATTTTAGTGCTGATTTTCTTGTTGAATATACAATTTTCTACAGACCAAAAACCCTGTGCAGCTGTTACTTTATACAATTGTTTATTTACTGCTTATCGCGAAACTATGAATAAATAACTGGTGTTTCGTGGTTCGTCAACTGGTTGCTCTGGACACTTAGGCCTTCTCGGCATCCTTGCCCTTGATGGCCCAGAAGCGCTTAATGCCATTGGCCAGACCTACGTCGTTTGGATGAAGTAGAAGAGACCGCCCAGCGTGGCCACCGAGATGACGATCAGCGCAATGTGGGCACCTTGGGCAGGACGTTGCCCACGACGGATGGCCGCATGTAGTCCACCACCATGGCCTCAACGCCCCTGTTTCATGGAGTAAAGGTAAAAGTCAATAAGATCTGCAGGATCGTGCCAAATTTTAACGTGGTTTATCTATCAATTCTGTTCTTCGCGTTGTAATCTTAATTTAATAAAAATCTTCTTATTTTGAGCATAAATTAAAAAAAGGGTTTTTTAAATATACCTTTTAATACAGTTTTTTTATAGATTTAATTTATCTAAAATTTTAAGAACTCAATAATAAATTATCCACAGACTATAGAAAAGCGTTAAAATTTGAAACCAAAAATGGAAATGGAATGATAACTTACCAGTGGGTGTGGATAACGACGGAGATGGCCAGGAGGGCGTCCAATACCTGGGATGGGGCAATGAAGGCAGCTGGGATGATAGCCAGAAGACCGGCGGACACAGCGCGCTCTATGGTCCACAACAGGGTGTGACTCGATCCAGCGGAGGCCATACGCGGTGCACTCACAGAGATCTCGCGAGCAATGGGCTGAAAAAGCAGGAGGGGATTGGCAACAGCTCGGGGATCCCTGAATTACCAATTCCAAACACTCACCGCTGCAATCTTGGCCAGAGCAGGGGCTGGACCACCGCCTTGCGCTGGGCATTGGCCACCAAGGTGGAGTAGCTCTTCAGGGGCGAAATGCGGGCCGACTTAAAAGATTTGCGGCTAAGAGCGGATACCAACAAACGGTTTGGTTATATAATAAAAGCTGTTTTGCGGCAAATACTGGGGCCATAGACCAGCTAGTGGGTTCTTACCATTGCAACGGACAGCGCCACGCAGAACCAGCGACAGGGACATTTTGGGATGTGTAGAAATTGAGAATTTTCAGCTCAAAATAATAATCCTATTGCTCCGTGAGACGTTCGGGCCGACTTGATTAAGAAATTGTACAGCACTGGAAGTAGAGTTGCCAGCTGACTTCGGTTTGTCAGTGTAATCGATATACAGTAATGGACAAAATATTGACACGGCCCAAATCCGCTTTATTCGATTTTTGAAATAACTATAAAGATTTATTATTATTTTATTTCAAATAATATACAATTAATATATTTTAAAAGAAGTGTGATTAGTTCGAGGCATTTATTTAACTGCTTTAGTTATTTGAACAAAACATTTGAGATTCTTTTGGGACGGAATGGCTGTCTAAATTGTCTTGATTAGCTTACAATCTAAGTTTAAAATTTGCTTAAAAATTCACATTCTAAGGCACGCAATTACTCCTAAAAGTCACTCGTATTGGGTGTAAGTTTGTAAATTTCGTTGGATGGTAAAAAATTAAATATACTTTTGATCTTAGTGAGCTACTAAACTCCTGACTAGCGCACAGGCCATGACAATGAGGCCAGTCAGTTGTAAATCGAGTGTCGCTGCTCCTGCTCGGTAAAAGTCCCAGTCGAAGACGATGTTGGAAGCATCTGATGGCTTCCAGGGGTTCAATCCGTCATCAAAGAACATGGGGCAATCGTCGCGCTCTCTTTCGTACTCCACGGCATCGATGGCCACCGCTGCTCCCTCCGAGTGGTTCCACGAGGTCACGTCCTGCTCCAGTTTGCAGAAGGCACCCACAGCCTGCGACATGAGGACGCGGTTGAGGTCAGCGCGCTGATACACCCAGCAGCGGTACTTGGACAGCGGATCCAGATCGTCGTAAGTGATCAGGTAGGACTTCAGGTTTCCTTCCAGAAGCCAATGCACTTCATGCGGTAATCCGGATCACTGTAGATATCAACAGGACGACCCAAGTGATCCACGGACAGGCAGTAGTTTTCATCCACCGCAAGTTCCTTTTGATCAGTATCGCAGACCGACAAATCGGAATGTTTTGTTGCAATGGATATCCGGACGTGGACTCAGGGTGACCCACCAAGTATTCTAAAAAGGATAACATTAGAGCAAAGCTAATGGTATTTGTGTATCTATAACAAACCTCGTTCTGAAGGGATGTTCTCCTTTCTGAGTAAAGTTGAACTTTCCCGCCACGGGACAACGGACGGGCACTGGATTTCTAGCCAAAAAGAGGTCATATTTCCATGCTTCGGAATTGGGAAACTGAACCCACGAGCAGACCGTGCTGAAATCGTCCTTTATCACAGCCAAACCCTTGCGGTAGCGAATAATGTTGTGGTGACGGGGCATAAAGTCAAAGCACACGTAATCCTTCTGGCAACCATCGACGGTCAGACGGCCATCATCACACGATTCCTCGGCGCTCTCGGCAAACATAGATCGTCTTACGGTATCGTGCCTTGTCCGGATAGTAGGTCTCGTTAATATGCGTTTCACTGATCGAGACATCGGCGTCAATGTTGGCTGTGTTCACCCATTCGCCGCTGAAGTTCTGGGGAAGCGTGCACCCGGGCTCCACAAATTCAGCTTTCACGGGCGTCAGCTTAGACGTTCGGGCGAAGTTTCCGGGGTCTTGAGCGTATTACATTCAGCCGTTATGGAAACACCACGTAGAGATCGTCATCACGATTCTTGAGGAAGCAGCGGTACTTTCATCCTTACGCGACTCCTTAGTATTGGCCACGGCAAAGTAGTGGTTCTTGCCCACAAACCAATCGCCAGGCAACTGAACTCCACGGTGCCGGTGAACGTTCCCTCCATGCCCTCGCACTGCTGGTAGGTGACGTTGAACTTTGGTTCTGGATGAGGAACTGGGTGCCGGCCGTTTGGCAGGACTGAATGCGGGCATCGGGCTTGTCGCACACGCCAGTGAAGCGGAATCGGTTCTGGAAGGGAGGGTTTTTGGAATATAGTCGTTATTTTTAGTTTTTATAAGAAATTAAAAAAGTCTATAATCAGACAATAACCAAAATATTGGTGGATACGAAAATTTAAATACACAAGTCAATTAAAAGACGAAGAAGCCCTAGTTTAACCAACTCACCTGGTAAGTGAAATGCCAGACTCCCTCCAACGAGGAGCGGCAGTTGATAGGCACAAAGTTCTCGTTGAAGAGCGTGATCAGTTGCTGGTCGTCCTTAACGCCGCGACAGACATAGTCCACGGTGGGCTCCTGGCCATCGGGAATGCCCACACAGGGGCCCTCGAATTTCTCGAACACATTAAGGGTGCGGATGATGGTCCTGACGCAATGGTAGCAGTCCTTGGAGCGCTCCTTGAAGACGAAGGAGTACTCGTCGCCCTTGTGGCGCTGGTAGTTGATGCAGTAGCCTCGGCTGGACATTGAGGTGGCGTCGATCACCGTCAGCGTGGCAGGCCCGTTTCCCAGGAGAACCACGATCCCTGCAGGATCTTCGGTATGACGCAGTTGTCCTTCTGGATTTGATTGTACTGGCCGAGGGCTATAAAAGAAGAGGTTTGTGAGTTTCGGTTGGGCCATTCACATGATTCACTTGGAGCCCAAGCCTTGGGTGTGGCTTGAGAGTCAATCACTGACCTGAGCCTAGGAAGCCCGCTAGGCAGATAACACCCAAGATATGTTGCATTGTGGGTTTGGTGTCTTCAGCACTAGCAGCTAAACATATTTTTTGTTGTTAACTTTTAAATGGAAGCTACAAAAGCGGTTTTAATCTTAAACAATTGCAAAACACAACACGCAACAAACACAAGCTACCAATAAACCAAGCCGACTTTTACAACACTGACCTAATAAGAGCGCCATGTGTACAACACTGATTAATCAGCAATAATCGAATAATTGACAGTTACTCTTTGAATTTAAAATATAAATATTATAACCATAAATACGTAAATAAATACATAAAATAAAACAGATAGACTTATAAAAATTCGTTTTCTGGATATTAAAATGAACACACATATGTAATATTTATTAAAAGTACTATAAAATACTTATGTTGCTGTTATCTTTGGAATGAATATATTTTAGCGTACTAGATTGTGGAAATTTGATTTAATTAACTTTTTTCTTTATTTTGAACCGATTGTCGTACAGTTCTGCCAGATGAAAATCCAATATAATTATAACGCTTATTAGTCTTCTTCTATCATCTTAACGACACATCCCCAGACAACAAAGAGCTGTAAATGATTAACCCGACAATTTAATATAATAGGAATATCAAAAATTGAGGGTGGATGAACATAATAATTGATTTTTAAAAGATTAAACGAACATTGCAAATTTAATAAGAATGGAATTTTTTCATCAGTACTAGTGGAAATATTTTTTTATTATTGAGTGATTAATAGTTTTAAGCTGAAATGTATTAATATATTTATTAGATGTCCAGTATACAGAAGTAAAAAGTTTAACTTCATTTTGTATAAACAACACTCCTATCTACACAACATCATTTATTTAATACTTAAAAATTGTTTAGATAGGACTCAGATTAAATGTTTTAGTATTTCTAGTTGAGATAGTCTTAAACACTCTTTTGCATTGGAGGGTTAACATAAACGCTGTCTGGAACAGCAGAAACGAGAACATCGAACCCGAACCCGAACGCCCCCGCAATTATTCAACCGACTGCATTTTGGACCTTTTCGTCACTTTACCCAATTAGCACACCTATTTTCGCAAGTATTGCTACTAATCGGGTGATTTGTGGTGCGATTATGATGACCGTTCAGATATCTTGGGATTGTGATTCACATGCACGGAGTTCCTAAGCTGCAACCACTTATATAGCCCGTTCGAACTTTGGAACCCCATACTAATCCGAATGGCGTGGTGGCTGATAAGTACGGCGAAGCGTCTAGGTACACAGTGTTTGTGCGCCTTATCAGTTGGCAAAAGGTCATCTGGGCTGCCTGCATGATCAGCCTGGCCGATTTCGGAACCAAGTCTATATGGGGAGCAGTTCGATCGGAGGCCTGCCAGTTTCAATTGAACCGGCGACAGCAACAGTTCTCCCATCGATTTCTAATCCGCTTTAAAAATCCAAAATACCAATGGGTTAGTGACACGCGCTTTCTGGGAAAATTATTCCTTCTTAATAAAACGATCCTTCAAATCCACCTAGCAACTGCAACCAGCGGCAGTGGACTCCATCTGGAGGCCATCGATCGCATTGGGTCCATTCCCCTGGTGGAATCCAGTGTGAAGCGAGTGGAGACCATCTACGACAAGGTCAAGAACAACAATAGACTCTTCTCCTGGTACTTCGAGACCGCCGAGGCTACCATCTCGGCAGCATACGAGACCATTCAACCGGCAGTGAAACTCTTCGAGCCTTCCATTCAGCGCCTGGACAACGTGATGTGCAAGAGTCTGGACATCCTGGACAGCGCATCCCACTGGTCTATCTGCCACCCGAAATGGTAAGTCATTAACCCGGTAACTTACCCCCATTCGCTGACAAAAGGGCATCCTTCTCGGCTTAAAGATGTACTGGAACACCAAGGAGTACATGTCGGATCACCTGGTGCGTCCGGTCCTGAAGCGTGCCGACTCCGTCAAGCTGATCGGAAATGCGGTTCTGGAGAGCCCACTGACAACCTATGCCGCCGATCGCATTGATGGAGCCTTCACAGCCGGCGACAAGTTCGTGGACAAGTACCTGGTGCCCATTCATACGGATCATGATCAGACCGATGGTGAGTCCTGGGGTTATTTTTTTAAAAATAATGTCAGGGTGGGTCGGCTTAATAATTTTGAACTCTAAAAGTTTCTAAGTTTTCTTTTCAAATCATAAATTTTTTTTTTAAAAAACTCCAACTTATTTACATGTTTATTATTCAAAATTATTGTAGTTAGAAAATTGCTTTCGACCCTGGATGGTCATATTACGCCGATTCGACTACACTTAACAAGAATGCTTGGGCATAAAAGTTAGTATAAAAACTTAAATTTCTAAATAATAAAACATCAAATAACTCCATTTATGTAGAACTTAATACAAAGTTAAAAAATCCAGCCAAGTTGAGTTTGAAACCTTATGTTTAAAATGATATAATTGATGTCCATAAAATCACCTTAAGGTGGCACTCATCTCATAGTTTATTTTTAAATGCCGACGTTGTCGGGAGGTTATCTCTGGGGAATTGTGAATTCATTGAAACCCAAAGCTAGAGAAAGTGGCGATAAGCTCTGGTCGGGATCCAGCGTGATCCGCTCTCGCGGTTACACAAAAACACAAAAATCGAATTGTCATGGAGATGGGCACTCACTTATTCCGAATATCCGCTTTGCAGGCCCGCAGGAGGATGATAACGACACAGTACCGGACGAGCGGGGTGCCATCAAGGCGATCCATCACGGTCAACGCTTCTCCCGCAAGCTGAAGCGCCGTCTCACCCAAAGAACCATCGCAGAGGCCCGCGCCCTCAAGAAACAGAGCAAGGAGGCTATCCACGTGCTCATCTATGCCGCGGAGCTGGTGAGTAAAAGTTTTTAATAACACGGGAAAATAAGAAACAGCCTTCTACAGTATTTTCAAAACATATGATACCTACAGATTATAATGAATTTTTTTTGTTTTACTTTGTAAAAGTAATCTTAATTAACATTTTTGTTTATTTTTTATATTATAATATAGAAATCAAATTCACAAAAAAATAATTGTTATGAAGAAAAAGTTCCAAACATGCATCATAATGTTTATTATATAGCTTATAATGCTTACCGGTTCTTCGATAATAATGTTTTATATTCTGATGTTTTCTTATATGAATTATTGTGTCCCGAAATGGCCGAACATATGTGACAACATCATAATTTATTTTTATAAACCACAAAGGTTTGATAAGCCGAAATGAAGATACCCCATAATTAACTTATGCCCACAGATTGCCACCGACCCCAAGCAGGCCGTTCAAAAGGCCAAGGAACTTTGGGTCTACCTCAGTGCAGATGAGCCCGAGAATCAGGCCAGGCCCGCCACGCTGGAGCAGTTAATATTGCTCCTGACCAGAGAATCGGCCAGGAGAGTGGTGCACCTGGTGAACTTCAGCGCACATATGGCAGCCAACATACCCAGGTTAGTGGAAAGCGAATAAAAGCACTAATTCTCCAACTAAACCTATCCCAATCCCGACAGAAACCTGGCACACACAACGACAGAGGTGGCCCACCAAATCATATACATAACCACCGCATTATCACAATCTCCCGCTGGATAAGGTGAAGACCATATCCAAGGAGGAAGCTGAATCTCTCTTCAAGCGAATGCTGGCGTTCTACGGTAACCTGCAGGGTCTGACCAATGCCTACCTCGTAAGAATACATGAAATATCTAATTTGAACTGGGAGATAACATAAAGTACAACCGACAGGAACGCGTGGCCAGCTTTCTATCCGGACGCATGGAGCGGAGAAGGTGACGGGCAGCGATAGCGCCAATTCCAACCACAGGTCCTCGCGGAGAAGGCAGGAGCCGAATCATTATTCAGCCGCCCACAATAATATCAACGGCGTCTACTAGCATTGAATTCTTTATTGCCATCGTATTCTTATTTCTTATGATAGAGTTCTGTTTCTCCGTGCATATACGGAAAATTCAGTAAGCGCTATCGTGTATCTTTTTTACAAAATGCACTTGCCAATAAATATAAGCCCATAATCATATCTCACTTCTTGTATTTTGTATTTATACAACTCGGACTTGATATTTCAGTGGTTGTCCGTAATAAACAGGCAAACATATTATTTTATCCGCTTCCATATCGGTTCCTGTGACCCCAGCTCCATCAAACCGTTCTAATTTTTTAACTGATTAACCAAACAATAAAATGTGCTTTGTTTCCCTCATTGAGGTTATATTTGTATCGAGTAGATAACCGGTGGTCACATTTATGTACTTTTTAAGTTTGATAGTAATTATTTATAAATATCTGTTAGTGACATAACTTTATACTCTTAAAATATATTTAAGTGATCTAACATAATATTTTTGAGATGTTTTAAATCACTATTGCGAACTCTATATACTCTTATTAACGAATTGCATCTAAACCATTCAACTCTCACTAACGATTATTTTTGGTATTTTTTAAAGAGATACCTTTTTACTTGAAGAAGTTCGCTTTGTAGTACTTGAGCTCACTGATGCTCTCCAGGATGTCGTCCCGGCTGCGATGGGCGAAGGCCTTCTTGGGAGCGGCCTTTGCAACCTCGGGACTCCACCGCCTAGCCAGTTCCTTGATGGTGGACACATCCACAATGCGGTAATGCAAATATTCGTCCACCAACGGCATGAATCTATTGATGAACAGTCGATCCATGTAGACAGAGTTTCCGCCGAGGGGACAGGAGCGCTTTGGAATATTCTTCTTGAGATAGGAGAGCAACAGATCGGAGGCCTGTTCGGGCTTTACGTCCGAGCTCTTGCAGCGATCTATTAATCCAGATTCGTAATGGTGCTTCATGCACCATTCGGTCATCGTTCGTACACCTCCTGGGATGGTTATGGCGAAGCTGGGTCCCTCGGACTTTATGTTCAGGTCCTTGTCCGTTATTATGCAGGAGACCTCCAGGATCTTGTCCTTCTCGATGTCCAGCCCGGTCATTTCCAGGTCCATCCACACGATGTCCGTGTCCAAGCCAGAAACGTTTTGGTTGCTGCTCATTCTGGCAGTTGAATTGGAAGTGATGAAGCTATTTGTGCCCAGGAACCTACGGCTCACAAACAATCCCAAACGTTGCAGTTGAGGAATCATAAGCATTTATTGCTTTTATCCGCGGAGTTACGCTATTTATTTACAGGTAAAAGAGCGGGCACCATGTGTTCGATAAGTATCGATAGCATTCACAATAACTATTCGATAAGCATAAAAGTGCGAGTTGTCGACAAGAGGTGACACTTTATCACAGAAGTGGGGGATTCCAATAATATGTTTAGCTATACAAAAAAATAATAAGAATTTAATCTAAATAAGCAAAATCATGAATAGATAATAAGGACATTTATTGAGAAACTATTCATTTGGTAAAGGGGCATCAGTGATAATTGGCCCCTAGAAATTCAATTAATTCTAATAAAACAAAGTTGTAAGTTTGAAAACCACCTATGTATTTTATATAGTAACGCCGATTATAGAGAAAACACCTTCCAAATCTAGATATCGTAACACCGAATAAAACCTCGATAGTTTTTCAAACCCCAGTTAATATATCGATACCATCGCGTGGCATTGACCCATCTCTACAGACTTGCATTTTAATCAGAAATTGTTGTAGGGAAAACGCAAAAAGCGTTGCTATTGTCGCAACCATGTCCTCCTCTTCGACCAGAGACCAGCCGGGAACCTCCCACGAGACGTTCGAGGACTTTTACACAGAAGTAAGTGTGGCGGGCGAAACCGCGGGCTCGCCTTTTTCATTGAGTCTGGCTCCTCCCAAGGCAGCCGCTCGAAACTAAAATAAACCATTATTATTATGTACACTTGAGTAAATGATTTTGTGCCTATATTGCAGGTGAAAGAAATTGAAAAACGTGATTCAGTTTTAACTCCTTCTCAACAAATTGATCGTTTACTTCGTCCAGGTTCAACGTACTTCAATCTCAATCCGTTTGAGGTGCTCCAAATCGAGCCCGAGGTCGAGGTGGCCGACATAAAAAAGCGCTACCGCACCTTGTCGATCCTCGTCCATCCAGACAAGAACCCCGACAACCAGGAGCGCGCTCAAATGGCATTCGATATTGTGTCGCGTTCCTGGAAGATCCTGGAGAACGAACTCACGCGCAAAAGGTGTCTGGAGGTGTACGAGGAGGCCAAGGGGCGAACGGATCAAATGGTGAGTCTCGGATCTGTGAGGATGCCAAATTAAAGCAGCCTTATCGAGAAACTATGTATCTGTATAGTGTCCTCCTGCGTATAGAGAAATCTCTGTGGGAGGTTACTAAATCTGTCCTATATATATACACATTTAAATAAAAGAATATTCAAGCTAAGAGCTGCTTTCTTATAAAGAACCAGATTTTATTAATTATTTATTTGCCTTTCAGATTGCAGAAAAGCGAAAAAAGCTCAAAAAGGAGGGTCGGCCCACGGAGCCCATTCCCGAGGACGATCCCACCAAGTACAAGCATGCCATATACGTGATGGTCATGAAGCTGTTCGCCGACATGGAGCGCCGGCGACAGAAGCTCGACCAGCGCGACCAGGAGGAGCGCAAGAGGAAGCGCGAAACCGAGATCGAGGAGGAGGAGCGGATCAAGGCGGACCGCGAGTGGCAACAGAACTTCGAGGAGTCGCGACAGAGCCGCGTCAATAGCTGGCATGACTTCCAGTCCGGCTCCAAAAAGTCTAAGAAGGCCAAGAAACAAAAGCATATGACCGGCATGATGGTGCCACCCAAGTTTAAGCCCGAGTCGCGATAATATTGCTTCCCAGCGCGGCGTCGATCCTGCTCTATCGCAGACCACCTCCTCCTTCCCGCGTCGCGTTGCACATAAATATTTTTACATTTTTTTATAAGTATCCTTTGGAATTGTAATTGACACGTGCATAATGTATAGATGTAAGAAATCACATTTCTGTCTCGTCTTTCCTCTCGCGATCGAACTCCTCCGACTACAGTTCGGTGTACAGGGATGCGGTGAACACAATGTCGCGCTTGATGGCCGCCGACGCCTCTTCCATCTTGGACTGCAGTCCAGGATTGCCAATCCGTATGGCGGCCGTTTTGACATCGCGCAGGGTTTCGTCCAGCTGCTGGATGCATCGCACAATGATGCCTCCTGCACCTCAGTCAGCTTCATAATCTCAGCAAAGGGCTGTGGATCAGATCAAGTGGATAATTAAGAGACACACATTATTGTACAAGAGATTAAATGTATACCTTGTTCCTGGCCCACTCGTAGACCACCTCAGCAGGCCGAAGTTGAGTCGATTTTCGGCCTCGATCGCAGCCTGGAAGCGCTGCTCCTCGGCAAGAATGGTGTCGTTGATCTTCTCGAAGTCCGCCACGCACTTCTTCAAGGGCTCTGGTATGACCGGTTCGCCTTGGATCTTCGCCTGGAAGACGAGACCGGAGAGCAGGGCGGCTATCTCAGCGGGCTCGAGATCGTTAAACATGTTGCACAGAATGAGCTCCGTAATCAGCAGCTCGTTCTGGCCCATCTCACAGGCCACTTTTCCCTTGAGTGTGACCTCGTCCAGTTCGTCTATGTATTTGAGAGCCCGAAGCACCTGCAGCTTGTTACAGTAGTCCGGATAGAGAGTCAGGTTTTTCGCGGAGTTCTTAAAGCGCAACTCCTCGATATGGATTTCCAGCATCCGCCGCTCGTAGACCTTTGTAAACTCCTGCTCGAAGCCGGCGATGTTGGTGTGAGGCAGCAAGTCGCACACTTGCCGGCACAGGTGATCTACGTAGTTGAGCATTGCCACCTCGCTGTCTGCGTTCACGTTGATCTCCTTGGACAGGTTGACGTACTTGATGGTCTCCGGGTTGGCGATGTAACTCTCATTTAGCTGATGCAACTCCGTCACAGCCTTGACCACGGTTCCCCCAGGCGGCGTGTCCTTGAAACGCTCCAGCTGCCGCTGCTCCCAGTTCCGGATGATAACATCGGCATCGACTTTAAATGTGTTCTTCGTGATGCTTATAATGTCCATGGCCTTGATGTCCAGAACAGAGTGTCCTCCAATTCCCTCTGGCTGGAAGAATTTGTTCTTGGGCGTCAAGAGAGTATTTTGTAATAGAGTTCGCCCCGCTGGAGGCTATCGCTATCTTTTGCTTTGAACTGATGGTCCAGCACTAGCACTTTATAGACGGTATCCTTGCCTGGGACGGATTTGGTGTTGAGTAAATGGCCAGTTTGTTGTAATGCTTGCCCTGGGTGATGACAATGACGCGGCCAACCTTCAACTCCTTCTGGATCTTGCCTGGGTTACAATGAATTTCTGAAAGGTATGAAATGGTTAAATCATAATTTTGTCCGTCCTTAACTTAGCCCACCATGATGCGGTGCTTCTCCTTCCAGTACTCGACGGCTTTGTCGTAAAGTTGACGAGCGGCTGCAGGTGCTCGCCGAGGGTTTGGAGCATGGCGAACTTGTCCTCGGCCAGGCGTAGTTGCTTCTGCTGCGTGGCAATGCAGCTTCTGGTTAAACTCCTTAAAACTGAATTGCATGATGTCCTCCACCTTGATACTCTCGATGCGCAGGCATGTAGGATCACAGCATAGCGCAGGATGAATTGCGACTGCAGCTTCTCGGGCAGGCCGAGGATCATGGGCCGCAGCTCCATCGACGGTGGGACGTTTCCCTTGCACAACAGGATCACAGTACCCGTCTCGTCATGCCCTCTCCGACCTGCCCTGCCGGCCATCTGGATGTACTCCCCTGGCTTTAGGTTGCGCATCTCTAGACCATCAAACTTCTTGCAGGAGTCAAAGACTACAGTGCGAGCGGGCATGTTAACACCCATTGCAAAAGTTTCAGTCGCGAAGAGCAACTTCACCAGGCCATTCTGGAAGAGCATCTCCACGATCTCCTTGAGAATGGGCAGGATGCCGCTGTGATGCACCCCAATGCCCCGCTCCAAGGCGTCTTTGAGTACAAGGACTTGGGAATAGTGCGGTCCGGCGGCTTCAGTTTGGCCAGCATTGCAGGAAGAACTTTTGCACTGCACCCTTCTCCTTTTCCGTATTCAAATCCACTGACTGCAGGGCGGCCACATTGGAGTCACACCGGTTGCGGGACAGGGTGAAGGCCACCACGGGCATCTTGTTGTTCCGCCTCAGAAAGTCAATCAATCCGATCCAGGTGTACTGCTCCTGCTTGGCATTCACGTAGTTCTTTGGACCGCCTCCGCCGCCTTGGCCTTGCCCTGCATCTCCTTTTTGCGCTCCACGGCCTTCTCGTAGTTACCCTGCAGATATTTGCCATGGGCGTCCACAAGCAGGAAGATGTCGTCGCGGCTCTTGCCCCCGGCTCCAGTGTAGAGGAAGTGAGTCAAGGGTACTGGTCTTTTTAGGGTACTAATAACATACACCTTTCTTTTCTTAGTGCTCCCCACCCAGTCCGCCAGTTCCATGGTATTCGGAACAGTCGCACTCAGCATTATGATGTTGACATGATCCGGCAAGAGGATAATGACCTCCTCCCAGACGTGACCTCTCTCCGGGTTGTTTATGTAGTGCACCTCGTCAAAGATCACCCACTCCAAATCTCGGGTGACTTCGCTGCCACAGTACAGCATGGAGCGAAGGATCTCGGTGGTCATGATCAGGCAGGAGGCGGTGGGCTCTATCTGTAGGTCTCCGTTATGAGTCCCACATCCTTGAACGTCTTGCGGAAATCTCGGTACTTCTGATTGGACAACGCCTTGATCGGCGACGTGTAGATGGTGCGGGTGAGATCCCGCTTGGACAGGGCGATGGCGTATTCAGCCACCACAGTCTTTCCGGCAGAGGTGTGGGCTGCAACAAAGACATACTGTCGCTGCTCCAGCTTCAGAATGGCCTGCTTCTGGAAGACGTCCAGCTCGAAGGGGAACTCCATGGCCGGGCAGGGAATCTGCTCCTTGAAGTCGTTGATCGGCTGGCTAATGTCCACCATCTCGGCCCAGTCGCTCTTAAAGGTCTTCGTGGTGGTGGAGATATTGAGCACTGGCTTCAGGTCATCCTTCATGATCTGATCGTCCACGTCCTGGAACTCCTCAGAGGGAAATTGAACGTTCCGTTGGCTGGGACTTGGAGGGAGACCAGAGGAGCTTGACTCCTCATTCGCGTAAGCTTCATCCACTCCTGCACGTCCAGGTCCTGCTCTAGGTTCTCCAACAGTCCACGTTACTGGGATCGGGGACAACAGGTGGCAGTGAAACAGGCTGCGACTGGGAGAAGTCGTGGCCAGAGCTAAAGCCCGGCGGCACCGTCAGCAGCTTGTCCCCGAACTGGAAGCTGTCCACATCCAGGGCGGCGATCTGCTGGCGCTGCTCGTCGAAACCGCCCGGCCAGAAGGGAAAGTTGGAGTGAGAGCCGCGCGTCGCCTCCTCCAGCAGACCCGGCTCCCGCTGCATGGACATCGAGTTGTTGGCGTTGGCGCCCACATCCTCCAGGTCCACCTCCACGAACTCGAGTATTTGCCCACTCTGATCCCGACGAGGGCCAGCTTAGTGCTTCCCGGGCACCGGGGCACATGCAACAGGCGCATCGGATCGAATTGGCGGGGCAAAACATCGGGCAGCGGATTGTGGAGAGATAGCTCTGGGCGCAGGATGTAGTTGCGCAGTCGCTCCAGGTTCTCGCCCGTAATCTCACTCATTTTAATCGTTTGTTCCACGCGAAAATCTGTTTGTTTAGCATTTGCCAAAACTCGAACAAAAAGACAACAAAAGAGTCGGCAGAACAATTCGATAGACTGGTCACCCTAAAAATAAGATTCAGTGGCGTTCCGAAATTCACCTCTTTGAGGTGAATAAAATCGTTGAAATTTCATGCCATGAAATAATTTAATATTTTATTTAATTGTGGGTCTTATTTTAGTAATTGGCTTTTTATCATTTATAAACTCTTCCCATTAATAAGGATTGTTTTTAAAAGTAACCTTACAACCTTAATTACTTTAGTTCTCAAATTTGATAGTATGTATGTTAAATAAAAACTCAATACATATTGCAATAATTCAATGTTTAATAATAAATTTGTAAACAAGTGATCAGATGAGCAAAATTCGTCACTACGTGTCAACTGATCTTGCTCATCTCTAATCGTATCCACTGTTTACATAAATGGCACTCTGAATCAGGTTTCTCCACACCGAATACAAACGAGTCGAGTTACTTTCGACGGAAACCTCGACCTTGAGGGGGTGGCACTTGTCGTCCGGCACTTCGGCCCCCACCTGGATGGAGACGTCGCCCTGGGGACAGGCGCTCAGGGCCACCAACAGATTCATGTCGGCCACGAACTCAATGAAATCCCCCTTGCGGGCGGGACTCGGCTTGCAGAAATACTGATGCGTCTCCCGGGTGAATCCGGTGCACATGAAGATGTTCCACACGTCGTGTACATCTGCTCGGTCAGTCCGCGTTCCTCCACCACCGCCTTGACCAGGGAACTGTGGCAACTGCCCACCCGATCCTTGCCCGTGATCAGCTTGTAGGTATAGTCGTCGCAGCGAGTTCCAATCACGTCGTGCAGGGCCCCACCATCCTCGTCGATTCCATAGGAGGCGAGGGAGTCGAACACAAAGGTGGCCATGGGACGCAGGTGGGGCAGGCAGCTCCACAGGCGATCGTAGACACGCAGGTGCGACGAGTGCAGCTGGCGCGTCTTTCCCGAGTAGAAGCGCTCGGCGGTGTTCTCCAGGTTCCAAAAGTTCATGTCGCCCACCTGGCTGCCTTCATGGACAGTGACACGGCACAAGTCGCCCGCCTGCATTGTCCAGGTGCGAGCCTCCCGCTTGGGCACCACCAGCGTCTCCACCAGATTCCCAGTCAAGCCTGGTAGCGCTTATCCTGAAATAGGATTTGTTTTCCATTATTAGGGGGGTATACCATTTATCGAGAATTATAAGCACATAACTTTTCAATGGATTTTTATTTTTGCTATCAATTTTGGCATATCATTAATGAAAAATAAGTTCCTAACTTCAAGATAGTCAAAGAAGAAAAAGTGCTTGTAATTCTTTAAAGATAACTTATCTCCCAGGTGATTTATTAAGTAACCCCCCCCGATCAACTTACATCGTATTCCTCCCTCGAAACAATCGATGCCTCGGGTTTATCATAGCAAACCACAGGGGAGTGCTTCTCGTAGGTGCGGGGCTTGGAATCGCGTCCACACCAGGGAGCGGGAGCAGCAGGAGCAACAGCGGCCATGACTACCGAGAATAGTTTGACACAGATACAACAGGTTTCCAGAGAGTAAATACGTTGTGGTCTTATCAGAGACCGAAAGCGAAGTGATCTACTCTACAGCTGGACGGATCAGGTTAGTTTCCAACAGAGCTTTCGATAGACACAGCTTTGCTCTATCGGATTTGAAATGATTTCCAATTCGCTTATCGTTGTTAAAAACACAGTTTATTTACTTTCTTATGACACTAAATTTAAGAATTTCGACCGAGAGCGATCAAAAAGAAATCAATTAAACAAATCAACAAAAATATTATTCTTCTGGTCTTTTCTGACGAAACGTTTTTAACTATGAAGCAGTCACGAATGAATGATGCTAGCACTCGAACCTATCCTACAGCTGGCCTTCTAGCTTTTGCGAGGGAAATGCTAATCCATGGATTATACCTAAATTAATTCAAACCTAAACTAAACATTGTATCTGCAAGCTTTGTGTTTTTCTGCTCCTATGTCTCCATCATGGTGGGCTGCTGCTTCTCACTGAATGGTGGCTCGTTCTCGATCTTCTCCAGCAGCTCCTCCAGCAAGATGCGCAGCTCCTTCGAGGAGAACTCCTGTGGCAGCGGTAGTCGTTCCAGGGCCACCTTCAGCACTGAGGATGGCTCCATCTCGGGGCAGACAATGCACATGCCATGCACCAGACAGCTGAGGCTCTGCGAGATTTCGCTCTGGCACAGGCGGTGTTTGGAGGTGGGACACGGCAGCAGGCTGATGCGCGAACAGAGTTCGCTTAGCTGAGGCTTCAGGTTTTCCCATCGCGCATTAATGTCCGCAATATTGGTCACATTGCGGATTGCTTGAACTTGGCACTGATGTCGATAAAGTCCAGGAAGATCTGCCCTGGTTAGCCCAGTTGGGCACTCGGATGCTACTACCCTTGGTGTCCTCGAACTGAATGAGCAGGCTGTGCAGGTACTCCATTTTTCCTGCAAGGTGGGAAGAAAAAAAGTTAAATATCTTCTGAAAAGCTATATTTAACAATGAACTAACCGTTTATGATCGCATCGGGAGCAATGTGTTGGAAGATAACATCGTGCGCCGGTGCAAAATGTTTAGCCTTTAGGAGATACTTGGCTTGAAGATGATGTTTTCCTGATGCTCCCGCCTTTACCGCCTTTGCATAGTCCACCCATGACATTGGAACACCCAACTCATCGACTACAAAGCGCTCTTCCGCATTTAGTGGTACCTTTGCGGACACGCTGACATTTCGTTGAAGCATCTGCTGGACTGCTCGTTCTCTCTGAGGTCGGCGCTTAATGTGCAACAGAACAAAGATGCTCCATGCCAGAGCCCTTCGTTCTCCAGCTGGCTAGCGAAGTCCACCGAGAGACGCGCCTCTGTCAAAGGCGAACAGTGGCGGTAACCAAGAGCTCGCAGAGTTTGTAATAGCAGCCAGCTAAAATTAGAAAATTCAAATTAATTTTACCCTTTTTATAAAATCTCTAAACTCACCTTAAACGAAAGTCCATGGGATCGGCGGTATGTGTGATCGGGTTGAGGGTTTCTTCCAAGGAATGTGTGCGCTTGGAGTACAGCTGGAGCACGTGGTAGCGCAGATCGTAGACGGGTTTCTTAGTATCAGTGGGTGCATCCTTGTAGCTGGGTTTTGGGGGCTCTGCATAACACTCCTCCGCTTGAAAGGCGTTGTTATAAGCATTGAGGGCATCCGTAATGGTTGAGGTCGGGCTGTGAAGTACCACAGTTGCATGGCCAGCACTGTCACCAGTTGTTGTCCTCCAGCAAATTGATGGCGCCCTTGGAGGACTGCATCATGGGACTCCGGCTGCCAGCATGTACATCTTGAGACGCTCCAGGTCGATGTACTTATCCGACTTGCTCTGCTGCCAGCATAAAGCTGCTCCTCCATTAGCAGCCGGAAGACAGCTCCGGAACTGAGTTGCGCGAGGACGAGAGCCAGGTTGGCATCATCGTAGTTGAAGGCCAACTCACAAGCCTCGTTTACACGGTGGCAGCTAAGCAACTCCAACATGTGATCGAGGTAGCTGTGGCTGCTCACCTTCTTGGAGAGCAGAGCCTTGCCCATCAGCGTATTCTCAAGCCACTCGGATAGCAAATTGCGGCGACACATAACCATGTAGTGGGAGTTCTTCTCCAGGTCTACCAATTCATCGTGATCGCCCCAGAGAGCGAACAGAAGCGACCACACGGACACGGCGTAGTCCTCTTTTAGGCCTGCGTTCCTTTGCTTTAGCGATTCGGAGAAGTGCTTCGAAACTAGTTTTGTGCCGCTGTCTGGATGTATGTACGGACACTCACTGTCCTCCACCTTTACGGAGAGGCAGTCGCTTAGCTGAACCTCCAGATGGGGAACAATGCTCTCTCGATACCCTCGTAGCCCTTGACCATGTTAAACTGCACCAGCTGCATTACATTGGGCGACATATCAGTGGCTAAGCGAGGAGCGAAAACCATGGAGGCGGGAAGAGCTGGTCCGGTAACTAAAGCAATGAAATTATTTAAAATGACTCCTCATATTTTGTCAACTTACATTCTTTTAGGTTCCGCATGTTGTTGAACGTGTTGGGCAGCACCAAAGAATTCTGCGGCCAAAGCTAAGCTTGAAGCTGCGTCCTTTGTAGAACCCAGATCGGCGACCCACTTGTGGCGCATTTCATGAGCAATGGATCTGGGCAAGGGAACCGTGGTGGCGTGCACTTTAACTGGAGCCACCTTGGGCTTGCACACAAACTTGAAGGCTTTGGCCACTGCCAACTCTGACTTTTTCTCCTTAACTGCAGCCACAATGCTTCCAGTTGCCATCGACGAAGTCTAAAATAGTGAGGATGATTAATGGGGTTTGAGGCTATGGGTTTTTACAATGTACCTCCTCGTAATGGGCATCACACATCAGGCTGGCCTCAGAGACAGAGGAAGAGACCGGCAGAGCAGGTGATGGGTGTCCAAAATCGTATTGGCTCGAGCTCTCAGAAGCGCCATCTTTCCAAGCATTAGGTTCTACATTGAAAAACTTACGGTGGCGATGGAGTCGTCCAGCTGGCTCTGAAGAGATTTATGAGTAATTTAAATATTAAGTGATTGTGCAATGATTTATGTATGTTATGGTATAATTTTAGTGATAATGATTTACCATTGAACTAAGAGAAATTTCATTTATTAAGAGAAAAGCTTTTTAAACTTTATTATGTTTTATTTAATAAACATGTTTTACTTTTAGAAAGTTAACATTTGAATAAATATTGATATTGACAAAGATCAAAAACAATTAAATCTCGTTGGAAGATAACTGTACATATTTAGCTCGACAATTAACCATTAACATTAAAAGATCTAGATACTACGAAAAATATACACATTTTGAAAAATATACTTTAAATATTTGCATTCCTTGATTGAAAGGCATCAAGAGATTGTCCACCTACCCATGGGCTCATCCTCGCCGGCGTTGTCCTCCACAAAAAGGACGACTTCATCAGCTGCATTTTGTGCGGCTCGTTTCCAACCATATCCTGGGCC